TATATATATATATATATATATATATATATATATATATATATATATATCATACATGTGATAAGATGGTATTGGAATAATTTCTATTTCTTTGAATGTGAGGAATTATTAACTTAAACTGAAAAAAAGAGCAGTGGAGATGTTTTCTCTTGAGTGTCCATTCTCATAATGCCCAGAAAGATTTTAATTTGCTCATGTTTGTTCAGAGAATTGTTCTTAAAATAGATAGATAGACACATGGGATCCACAGAATAGGCTCTAGATGTCTGTGATTTTCTACAGAATGATTGAGAGCTAAGATCCAGGTGATCTCTACACCATCACCTCTAGTCTTTGCTTTGTGAGTGGATTGCCTTATTTCCTTATGTCTGTTCTCAGATCTTCAAATCTCTAGGCAATTCAAGGAAAGGTAATTTCTAGGAACTCTTCAGTGCCCCCTAGTGGATGGACATCACCAACAAACGTGACTTCAGGTCATCGCCACAAATCTCATTAAAACAGCTCTTTTTACCCCATAACTTCCTGGTGAAGGAAATGCAGATGGTCAGAAGACAAGACTGACTAGATGGAGCGCTCAAAATAAATAAATAAATAAATAAATAAAATGGCCGAGAAATATTTCAAAGTTTCTCATCATTTTTAGCAAATAGAGAAATGCAAATTGAAACAACTTTGAGATTTCATCTCACATCAGTTAGAGTATCTAAAATCAATAAAATAACTAACAACAAATATTGATGGGAATTAGTGGGGTGAAAGGAACCTTCATTCACTGTTGGGGGAATGAAAATTGGCACAGTTACTCTGGAAATCAATATGGAGAGTCATCAAAAGCCAAATCTACCACACAACCCAGTTATGTGACTTCTTGTTATATGCCAAAGAACTCTACATTCCACTCCACAGATAGTCACTTGCAGTATTCATTGTTTCTCTATTCATAGTAACTAGGAAATGGAAACAATTTAAATGACCTCCAACTCTTGAATGGGTAATAAAATGTGGCACGTATACATTATTAATTATTCTTCTGAGTAAAGAAAAGTGGCATCATAAACTGCAGGTAGATGGATGGAACTAGAAAAGATTATTTAAAATAAGTGACAGAGACCTCAAAAGACAAATGCCATATACTCTGCCACTGTAGTATTCTGAATACAATGGAAATTGTAGAGGCTCCTATCCAAATCTTCAGATGGAAATATATAACTTTGATTAGCCACAGAAGCCAGAAATATCCAAAAGGGAACATGCTGTAGGAGTACCTTCCGCTCCTTCAGCCAATGGTCACTGAAGTTGGAGCCCACAGTGCTACGGGAGTGCCTTCTGCTTCTTCAGTCAATAACCCCCGAAATACCAGCCCACTGGAGCGTGGTATATTTCTCTTTAAAAAAGAGTGGGAAACATCAGTATGCTCTCTTGGTTCCAGCTATTGGTTCCGGCTCCTGCTCCAGTGACTAGGCTCCTTTCTTGACGGTTTGTGTTTTGTAAATATCCCTTTAAAACCTAACTGGTTTGGGATTGTTTCATGCATTATCTGGCACCCAGCGTTTGGTTTTAGAACCACCCCATACCCTCCCCCCCCCTCATTCCCTGGCTTGGCTGCCTGCCTCTGGCACAGCTGCCTGCCGCCAGCTCGGCTTGACACGAACACTCCCTCAGCCATAACCTCCATGCCTCCCGGATACACAGGTTCAGACAGTCTCTGCCGGCCTAATTTGATCTGTTCTGAGCGGATTTTAAAATTTTCCCTTGCAACATGAGTCACAGAGCTCGCAGTGCAAGCTCCCTTTGAAATCCCAGCAATCCTGTTTGAAATCTCCACCATCCGCCATAACTGATTTGGGAGCACTGCAAGCAGTTTGACCCTTAATCCCAGCACAGGGACATGGGGTCCACAGCACTCAGCCTCTTTAGCAACAGTGCAGTGACTGTTGAACAGAGTGGCAGGGCAGGAGAGCCCGGCCAGGGTAGGCCAGATTGCCTTGTTTATTGGCTCCTAGAAGCTCTCTGACTTTTTGTGCTCTGTGCCTGGCCTCTGGATTTTCTCTCTGTGTACATATGACTTCTCAATTGACTCATTACCCCCAGTTTTTAAACAAATAACAGAGCAGATTTTAAAACAGGATTTGTTGTGATGCCTGCAACTGTTCCAGTCGCGACTCAGAGATATTGCCATATGGTGGCTGACAGGTAAAATGGCAGGTTTCTTTTTTAATGGGACTCTAGCCATGGCTTTTGCTGCCACTTTGGTAGAAATCACAAGTGGTGTATATGCCAATGGAGATGCCTCGATTTACTGGTTATTAGGTATTAGTTTCTTTCTTAATGTTATATCATGGTGGAAATATGTGAGATTAATTTATTTAATTTATAGAATTAATACCATGATAGGCACACTTGAGTCCTTATCTAAGGGTACTAGGAACTTACCTGAGAGGGTACAAGCTGTTGAATTTGACTTTGAGACGTTATCACAGAGTTTTGATAAGGTAACAGACAAAATATACCTCCAGGATGGCAACTTACATGATATCCAGGGGCAGTTCAAGGAGGAGATATTGTCTTTAAAAGGAACCATTAAGAACTTGAAATCACAGGTGCAGAATGGGGACCAAAAAATTGATACCTTAGTGAAATCACTAGAAACACATACAGGTCAGGAGATTCAGGATTTAAGAGAAATGATGATACAAAGATTTGAAATGATTGAAAAAATTATTGGAACTGATGAACCAGATGAGAAGATACAAGGGCAGGATACAATGCCACCACCACCTGTTATAAATGGCTTATTCAGGGTTTTAGTGATGTACCCTGTAATTTATTCTGACAAAGCATCAACTTCCAAAGGCTCAAAGGGAGCCAAAGAAGCTAGATGGACGCCAGTAGGAATGAACAACCTAAAGGAAATTAAGCAAGTCATTGTTAATTATGGCATGCACTCTATATTTGTTAAGGAAATGATAAGGATTTGGGCTTCTAATGTCAGGGCTATCTCCCACGATTTCTCACAGTTAGCTTCAATGGTCCTCAAAGATGGACCTTCTTCAATGTTGGAGTTTATTTCAGGGAAGAATCCAAACATATGGAACAGCAAGGAAGAGCAAAAGGTATGGAGGTTTCACAGGATCAAATTCTTGGTGTAGGAGCTTATGCTGATCCACAGGTCCATGTTCTTTCTGATGAAGAAGTATTTTCTCTATGCCACAAGGCAGCATAAAATGCCTGGGATAGATTACCAGAGCCAAGAAGAAAGGTAGAGTCATATACTAGGGTTAGACAGGGACAGGGAGAACCCTATACTGACATTTTGCAAAGATTAATTAAGCCTCTGAACACAGGAGTAACAGACCCAGAAGCTAGATGACTAATTTTGAATCGCTGGCTTTTGAAAACATAAGCTTAGACTGCAAAAAGATAATTGGACCTTTAAGGTCTAGATCAGCACCTATGGATGAATGGATCCAGCATTCCATGAATTTTCAGACCTTTAACAACAATGATGAATCTTGGGTAGGAGAAGCGATTTCCAAGGTGATGAGGTGACATAAACCTGCCAAATGTTTTAATTGTGGTAAATTTGGACATCTAAAAAGGGATTGCAGGCAAGATAATTCTAGGAATAACACTTCATGTGGGAATGGCAGGAATAGGAAACCTTGGCCTTCTGGTATATGTAAGAGGTGTGGTAAAGGACGACATTGGGCAAATGAATGAAGATCAACAACAGACAGAAAGGCAACCCAGTACCATCAGGAAACTCCCTGAGGGGCCTCTCGCAGGACCCAAGCCAAAAGTGGCCCAGTCATTCCCAGTAACTGTGGAGGACATGCCAAACAAGGAAAATTAAAATCTCTAGAAGCTTCTGTACAAGATCATA